TTTTATTGAGGGGGCACAAGCATATAACAGATATGTTTTCTATGGTATTAAATCTATATATGGGCAAAATTATTGACCCCCCCCCCCCCCCAGTTCATACGGCAATGAAAATGCTACCTTCTTGCATACACATTAGAGTTTGGGTTTGCATATGCAGGATTTATAAGTTAAAGGAATTGAATTAACAATGTAAGTTAAGATAAACTTCATTTGAATTTCAGGGAATGAATATTATTCATGACCTGGGAATAGCAATTTCCCCTACATGTCTACATAAGAAAACAAAGGAGCTTGTGAAGCAGCAAGAAAATCAGATACATTCATTAATGACTTCCTATGTAGAGGAGGTTGAAAGGAAGCATATGATGGGAAATGAAAATGGTGCAGAGAACGAAATGGATACAGGTGCAGCGACAAAAAGCAGCGACCAATTGAAATACTAGGTGACAATCTAGATATTACAATTACCCCTTCTAAAATGAGCTTGCAAAACCAAAGGAAAAGTTTACACTGGTTTCTAGTTTTGGTTAAAGAGAAACAAATCACTTTTGAGGAATCTAAAGTCCCCTTTGAACCACCTGTGGATTTTGCAGCATTGAATACTGTAAACTGGATCCCATCAAGTGAACAATTGAATTCTTTAATGTCAAGTTTCAAATTTCATGTAGCTAGTGTACTTATGCATTATGTTCCATACCTACAGTTACATATAACAAGTTTTCCCAAGCATATTGAGCACATGTACATGGACCAGGTGAGAAAGAAATCTGTTTTTCTGAACTGTGATTTAATAGAGGCCAGTGAGAATAGCTCACAGGGTATGATAGCTCACAGGGTATGATAGAAATTCTTCAAAAAGTTCATCAACTTGCTGTTCCGCATGTTAGGGATAATCCTGACAAGAATGTTTTGGAAAAGGTAGTTTTTGGTCGGGACGTCTTGACGAACGAAAGGGCATTTAGTGCCCAAGAAGCAATGCAGAACAGCCCCTCTGAGTACGAGTCCCTGTTAGGTGTTATTCACAGACCAGAGGGTCAACATAGAGAAATGAACTTCCTTCTGGTATAATATATCAACAATTGGGAGTTGACAGTTTGGAGTTTTGTTTATAATAACAGTTGTTGTTTCATAAAAGTGAGTTTTCTTGTCCTTTGGTTTATGATTACAGAATTAATGTTGATTTATTCAAACATTGACTAGTACATTGTCAGAAACTAACTTTGAATAGGAAACTGAAGCATCTTAAAATTAAGAGCTTCTGACAATGTACCCACTAACCAAACCCATTTCTTACAACTAGTTTGTTTTCAATTTCTTTCTGTTAGTTTTCATCATTATTTCAAGCTGCATGTGAGAGTTTACAACATTACTACTTGCATTGCTTGAGATTCTCATATATTTAGTACTGGCATTTTAATCAGTTTAATAATGTGAAAATTATGACCCCTGATCCAGGGGCTCAAGTCTTGACACTGGCTATATGCAGTATGTAGTTTCCGAGGTTTTAGTGTAAAACTTTTAAAAAGATATCAAATATAGAATCATTGGTTGAACAATTTTGCCAGCAGAATTTTGTTATTGCATTTTGCTCAGGTCATCATTGATGCCGTTGTAATTATATCCCTGTTTTGAAGGAGACGGGGGAATACTATTTACCCTTTCGTGTCTGTTCTGTGTGTCTGTCCGTAACAAATTTTTGTCGCAGTTTTCTCAGCAACTACTCATCGCAGGTGATTGATATTTTAGTACATTCTTTCTTTAGCCTTGCCATATGGTGGGATTCATTTTTAGCTCACCTTAGCTGAAAGCTCAAGTGAGCTTTCCTGATCACATTTTGTCTGTAGTCCATCCACCTGTCTGTAAACTTTTCACATTTTCGACTTCTTCTCCACCACTAGGCCAATTTCAACCAAACTTGCCACAAAGCATCCTTGGGTGAAGGGGGTTTAAGTTTATTCAAATAAAGGGCCACGCCCTCTTACAAGGGGAGATAATTAAAAATTGGTGAAAATTTGGTGTCTTCTCAAGAACCATAAAGGTTAAAACTTATGCGAAACCTTCATTACATAGTGTTGATTCAACTTTGTTCAAATCATGACCCCCGGGGGTAGAATGGGGCCACAATGGGGGGATCAAATTTTACATTGCTTCAGGTGAGTGTTGTGGCTATGGGCCTCTTGTTGTGCAAATTTGATGTCAACATGAGGGAACATTCAGATCAGAGCGGGGGTATTACTAGTGAGCAGACTCCTTTTTTTTCTATACATAATGAACTGTATGCATCATTACAATGTGCATGAAACTGTAATGTATATGTTCAAATCCTGAATTGATACCTGTGTTCAATTTTCTTTGTGCAGGGTATATATCAGCTCTTCTACAAAGAGAAAAGCAGTGTAGATAGAGGGTCTTTATACCAGTTGCGGAATCTGATAAACAGACGAAATGTTTCTGGGCCTGAAGAAGTCATTTCAAGCTACAGGTATTACTGTGCTACTTGTCATATTTTGTACAGTGTACTTATGTTTACTGGATATGATAATCCCTTTTACTTGATCAAACCCTAATATCAATTGTCAGGACAATTTATTTGAGAAGATGTATTGTACCTGTATTACCACAATATTTGATCAGAATCATAAAAATGCCCCCCCCCCCCCTTTCCCATAAAAAATAGATGGAAATTGTTAGTGCCTTCTATTTCATATTATATTTGCAATATTTTTATTTTAATTTAGAGCACACCATGACTTCATAGCAGACATCACAGACTCCTACATTTTGGCAGCATTTCTAGATATCATGCAAATGGAGGATTTGAATTCTACTCCTAATACGATACCTTTGTTTTCGTTAATGTCTGACAGCCAGAAAAATGAGTGGCTTGTGGATGCAGCAGAGAAAATTATCACCGAACTGAAAATAAACGAAGTTTCCTTTCAGCATATAGTTGATGACATAGCAGCTCTGGATGGTGATACAAATAACCTTAATGCCATGAAGTCTGATTATTTCTATTTATGCGCAGTATGTGGGAAACAATATCATAAGAGAGGCTGGCTTAAAAACATCTGGAAAAGAAACATCATTGGAAGTTTCATGTACCTCAGGGAAGATCAGATGATAACAATCCGACACAGACATTTCTGTTCATATCACTGCTATACAGAGACACATACGACTCGTATCGAATGGGGGATGGAGACAGAATCATACGAAACGTGTATTTTGAGTGGTTGTATGCAGCGGGACTGAGGCACTCCAAGTACAAAATCTGGCTCTTTAGAATTCTGTGTAACATGTATCTTTTAAGTCCTGAGCAGAGTTTCGAATACAAATGGAATATGACTGTAAACTTACAATGTGGAATTGGACAGAGCATTCCCTATGACAACTGTGTTGAAATTCAAGTTCACAATATTAAGAGCCAATTGAACACACAGGGTTCTAACAAGTCTTTCAAGTCAGCAAAACAAATCTGTATGACAACACAGGCCATTGATGCTATAAAAGATGGTCTTATGTCAACAACAAAATCAGCACGATCCAAAAGCAGTCGACCAGTGGTTGATAAGACAAAGGACATCGTGACCGTTATAAACTTCCTAAGATCTAAAGGCTCTGTCAAAGACATCACTTGGTCAAGTTTCAGTAAGTTTAAAGATACAATCAAGTGTATTGAGTCTGTAGATTTACATGAGTGGATAATTAAACAGAAAGAAATTGCCAATATGTACATGAAATAATAAATATTTCTGTTTGATTGCTTATGAAATGTGTTCACAGAGTAAATCATGATACATATGATATGAGACTAAGAAGTATTACGTTAACTTGTAAGTGCAATTTTTGTGACATTATTCTTGAGCAAGAGTTCCTGACAACTGACAAAATTTATGCCTTGATTGTGATGCAATAAAACAAGCTGAATTGTAAAGACTTTTTCCTGTAATAGAATTTTTTTTCTACCACTATATTGGCATGCAGGAAAATTATGGTGGCATACAACATATGTCTTAGCATGTGACTTAATTATGTTAATATTAAGAAAATTATATGCATTGTAAATATGCTTACAAACAGGTTAATTTTTGTTAATGGTAAATAAAGTAGCAAGAAAAACGTGCATTTCAAAATAATCATCTCGATTGTTGACACAACTTAGTTGCATGTTTACATAGTTAAATAAAATGTCACCATACACTTTCAAAAGAATGTAAAAGTCATGTATGGTTTAAAGTTAGTAATTATTATCAGAAATTAAATATGACTTTTGTTGCATGTCAACATATATTTTCCTGCATGTTCAAGCAATTATCTTTCATGTTAGCATAATCTGGTAAAAAAAAAAAAAAAAAAAAAAAAAAAAAAAAAAAAAAAAAATCCCATATTTTAAAAAAATTTGACTTAGTAGATTCAGTTAAAAAAATACAGAAGGAACAAGATCAAACATTTTTCTCCTTTCATTAATATTTGGTATCAATTACAGAAATACACAAGACAGTCATCTGACATTTTCCTTGACAGGTACCAAGGGTTACATTGAAATGCTGTAGTCCAGAATTACAGTATCAAAATAACTGGTCAAAAATTGGCATATCTTGTAAAGATGAATAACGCAACAAATATGGTTATTAGTAAAGTGTTCATCAAATGGTTATCATTAAAAAGAATCGGTGTCACTTTCACTATTGAGATCAGAATCAGAAGATGTTCCATGTTCCTCAAAAATGCATGAGTGTTCATAGTCTTTACAATTTCCTTCACCACATAAGCAACTAGCACTACATATGTCACAACATAAATGTTTCACTCTATCTTCTTCTGGATTATAGTTATATGCAGACAGCATAACTTCCCTCCTGCAAGTATCTGTGTTGCCAATGTACCTTTTCATATCATCATCCAAATTTCTGCATTGTCTTGAATTGTAAAGTAATAAGGCCATTGCTGTTTGTGAGCCATCTCTCCCTGCCCTACCTAATTGCTGCACAAAAGAATCCATATCTTTTGGTGGACCAAAATGAATTACATTGTTTACACCTTTAAAATTTACCCCCATCCCTGCAGCACTTGTTGCTATCAACACTCTTATTTTGCCATTTGCATCCTGCATGTCTTGTTTTATATTTTCTTTTACAGTTTCATTTGTTTTTTAATGATACATATCAATGTTCTGAGATTTTTCCATCCTAAATGCACTAAAAACATCACCACATAACTTGATAGAAGGGCAAAAAATAATAAAACGTTCACAAAGTGTTCCCTTTTCCCTTAATAATTTTATTGAAAAGAAAAATAAATCTGGTAATGGTACAGTACTTTTGACCTTTTTCACAAATAATTTTATATTGTTTCGATCAGGATTGTCAATCATTTCATAACAATTATTCATGGCAAACTTTTTCTTTAGGTCAGCTCTAGCAGCCTTGTTAGCAGTTGCAGTTATTAGTAAAATAGGACACTGTATCAGTGATCGTACTTCTCCAATTTTTTCATACCAGACTCTGAAAGGTTCATCCCCTCTGGTACCACTTTCACCCCTGCAATTAAACAATTGAACATTTACACCTGATGATTTTGCAAGTCTAAGAGTCTTATTTCTTAAAAGCTGATGAGAATATTACTTATCCAGGTTCAATCAAGGGTGTACAGGAATTTACCCTGGGTTTTATTCCATACACCCTGAGGCCGAAGGGTGTATGGAATACAACCCGGGGTAAATCCCTGTACACCTTTGAATAATGAATTGATTTCCTATGTAACCAAATAAATTCTTTGTAAACACAAGTCCAATCAACTGTGTTTTAAGCTATTCATAGATTTACTACATGCTACAATGCATTGTGAAGTCATGTTATTTGCTTTTTATAATCATGATTAGAGAGAAACTATATGCACTTTGATGTCATGTTATTTACCCCCGACTCAAGTCAGGTGTACAGAAATTTACACCCAACTTTGTAACCAATGAATTTATTAAAGCTTGTGTTACAAGCTATATAGGAAATAACAATAGTTATTTCCATATTCAGAATTGGCACAATGCATATTAACAGTAATACACCTGCTATCATCATCATGCAAGTGAACTGAACACTAAAATTAATATCCAAGTGAAAAAGTAATCTCAATTAAAAGTGATACTGCAGCCTGAGTCATTTTTTTTCAAAGTAAATTTCATGTACATATATTTTTCACTCAGTGTATTATCTGGTTAGGCCTTGAAGCTATAAAGTAGGACAGAATCATTAGTTTTTATACTATCGCAGATACATACCATCGTAAAACAGTGTGGACCTCGTCTATAACAATCAATCTGAAGTGTTGGCTTCTGGTCACCATTTCTCGCCACTTAGTAACAGACAATATCGCTTCCGGAGAGGTAAATAAAAACTGAAACGTCTCATCTGCTATCTGTGCATATTCTTCTGAGTTTCTACCGATATATGTTGCAGTAAATCCAAGTGACTGCAAAAACTCGCATTGTTCTTTCATTATTGAAATAAGAGGGGATATCACTAACACATTGCAGGGAAGGCGGTGTTTTTCAGTCCACAACACTTGAAAAGCTTGATAACATAAGCTCTTCCCACCCCCTGTCTTCATAGACAAATATACATCCCTTCCTTCAAGTAGCTTTTCTAGTGTATCTTTCTGAAATGTCTTTAATTTGCTTATTCCAAATCGTTCGCTAGCCACTTGATCAATTGACGCCATTTTGAAGTATAAAGCGAAAGTGCTTTGAAAGGGACTTGCTGATTGGACAATATCGCTTTAGGTGTACCTTGAGCGACCAATTAAATCGCCTCATTAATTATTCATGAGAACGAGCGAATTGGTATGAATGGACCCACGGGTGATGGAGAGAGGAACGAAGCGTAATCAGCCGTGGGTTTCCGACGATGAATTATGTTATATTTTAATCATTCACTGAAAGAAGATTTACTGCCTGATATCTTGTGCAGAGATGGAAATACGGCATCAACAGATATCAAAATCAAGCTGCATATGAAGGTGAAATTATGCAGGAAGTATAATTTATATGGAAGTATGTATATCCATTTTTCACATTTTAAATGCTGTGCCTATCCTTAGATTTCATAAGAGCACGCAGTTTAAATTTTCATAGAAGCTAACATGCCTCTTAATTTCATTTTTTTATGTATTCCAGATCAAACCAATTATTCAAAATTGTCATATCTCCCTGCCACTATGCAATTTGGTTCTTAAACCAAAAAAGACTAAAATATTTAATTGTGAACTAATATGAACTTTAAAAAAAATTCCAGGAATCATTACTTCTCCATTTTTACTTTCTGGAGTCATAGGTGACTCTAAAGGAGCTCTTCTAATTCCTAAGCCCTGCGTTGGAAATGCAGACTTTGGTGTCGACAATGGCTTACTGTTGGGGAGGGTGTAGAGCAACACTTCAGAAGGACTGGAAGTTCTAATATACAGATTACATCTGAACTGGAATGTTTCTTTTTTAGGTCACCTGAGTTTACTCAGGTGACCTATCGCTATATGTTTTCGCCCGTCGGCGTGCGTCGTCCGTCGTGCGTTAACATTTGAACATTTTCAGCTTCTTCTCTGGAACCACTGAACCAAATTCAACCAAATTTGGCACATAGCATCTATATGTGAAGGGGAGTAAAAATTGTGAAATTCATGACCCCTACCCCCCTGGGGCCTGAGGGGTGGGGCTAAAACCATCAGAATTAATGCAATCTTTAAAAATCTTCTTCTTAACTCCTGGGCATCAAGCAGGCAAACTGTTGGCATGAATGTAATAAGCATTGAGCCCTCTACCTAAATTGTGAAATTTATGGCCCCAGGGTCAGGGGTTCTGGTGCTAGGGTGGGGCTCTGTTGAATATGTAGTGAAAAGCATTATTCTTAAAAAATCTTCTCCTCTGCTCTTGGGTATTTAGGAAACAAACAATATGCATAGTTATGATGAAGAAAGGTGTCTCTTCTAAAATTATGAATTTCATGGCCCCTGGGTCAGGGGTTCTGGTGTTAGGGCGGGTATCTAATGATTATATAGTGAAAATGCATTAATTATTCAAAAATCTTCTCCTTTGCTCCTGGGTATTAAGCCAATGAACTAAGTACATAGTTATGATGAGAAAGAGTGCCTCTTCCAAAATTGTGAATTTCATGGCCCAAGGGTCAGGTTTTCTGGTGTTAGGGTGGGGCTCTGTTGAATATATAGTGATAATGCATTATTTCTTAAAAAAGCTTCTTCTGTGCTTTTGGATATTATGAAAACAAAATACATAGTTATGATGATGAAAGGTGCCTCTTCCAAAATTGTCGATTTCATGGCCCCAGGGTCAGGGGTTCTGGTGTTAGGGCAGCGTTCTGTTGACTATACATGTATAGTGAAAATGCATTATTTCTTTTAAAAATCTTCTCTGATCCAGGGCAAACAAACTGAAGGCATAGTTATGATGAATAAGGGTGCCTATTCCTATATTGTGAATTTCATGGCCCCCTGGTCAGGGGTTCTGGTTTTAGGGCGGGGCTCTAATGATTACACAGTAAAAATGCAATAATTCTTTGACAATCTTCTCCTTTTCTCCTGGGTATTAAGCCGATGAACTAAGAGTATAGTTATGATATGTAAGGGTGCCTGTTCCAAAATTGTGAAATTCATGGCCCCTAGGTCAGGGGTTCTGGTGTTAGGGTGGGGCTCTGTTGAATATATAGTGATAATGCATTATTTCTTTAAAAATCTTTTTTTTGATCCTGGGTATTTAACAAACAAACTGATGCATAGTTATGATGAGTAAAGGTGCCTTTTCCAAAATTATGAATTTCATGGCCCCTGGGTCAGGGGTTCTGGTGTTAGGGTGGGGCTCTAATGATTACATAGTAAAAATGCAATAATTCTTTGAAAATCTTCTTCTTTTCTCCTGGGTATTAAGCTGATGAACTAAGAGTATTGTTATGATATGTAAGGATGCCTCTTCCAAAATTGTGAATTTTATGGCCCCTGCATCATGGTTCTGGTGTTAGGGGGGGGGGCTCTAATGATTACATAGTGAAAATGCATTAATTCTTTGATAATCCTCTGCTCTCTTTTTGGGTATTAAGTAAGCTTACTAAATGTAAAATTATGATGAGCAAGTGTGCCTCTTTCGAAATTGTGAATTTCATGGCCTCTGGTTTAAAACATGAATCCATTGTGGCGAAGTTGTTGCATGATACTCAGGTGACCTATAAGGCCCGTGGGCCTCTTGTTTAATGTTGTCAGATATTGTGGAATCATCTTTCTGGAAGACCAATGTTCATGATTTTGTGGGTCACCTCATACCAACTTATATACATCCCACAAAAGAATACTTTGTCAATACATTGCATCTTTTGTATAAAAAGGTTGCCCATGAAATAACATCACATGAATCCGTATAATTCTGCTTGCCCATGAACACCAATTCAACTCGTCTCGAGTTTCAAACTTAGTTACATGTGTGAAATCAAGATTCTTTTAGAATTTTACATGAGAATTAATACATTTATTTTAAATCATCTCGAATTAAATGACAGAGCTTATAGAGACAGCAAAAGCCTATGCATAAAAAAAAAATTCTAAGAAACGAATTTACTGGCAGTTCAATACGATTATTCATTTAAATGGCATAAATGCTTTTCTACTCATGCTGGTAAGGCCAATATAAAAAAATACCTTTGATTCCCCTCACGCGACCGACCAATTTAAATCGCGCCGACTGAAAAGTTTTTTTTCTAATAAGATTATTCAACTTACAAATAATTTTTTTAATATTTACAAGTTTTTAATATTTTTTACAAGTTTAATTGAATAATAATTATGAATTAATTTACCTTGAAGTTTGCTTAAAAAGGCACTGGTAATGGTGTGACAATTCTGTTGACAAATCGTTTTCTTTGTACTTTTCTTATTTTTAAAGGTTGTATTCCATTATATATTAATTTATATAAGTTTATAATATTTAAAAGTTGCTGTTGCAAAAAAAATTATCTACCTACCTACCCAACTTGAGATTTTAGAGACGGGTTAGGGGAAACAAAGATATTTTTAATGATGGCCTAATTTCACCGATTTAAATTTATGTTAGGGATGGGATTTCATCTCCCCCTTGCAGATAATTGCACTGGAATAACCCTTACTCTACTTTGTAACTTTTCATTTTCTTGGGACAATCTTGAACTGAAATTCAAAGGCTTGCAGTCGCCCGCGTGGCGCAGTGGTTAGAGCGTCTGCTCTGAGAGTCGCGAAGTAAGGAGTTGATCCTTACGTCCCGGGCTTGAATCCCACTGTTGGACGTGGAGACCGGTCCTTCGGATGAGAACCTGTAAACCGAGGTCCCGTGTCGCAGTAGATGCTGGCACGAAAAAGATCTCTTACTGTTCAATGGCCGTAAGTGCCGAGTATTGGATAAAATTTGCAGCTCTCCACCGGCAAGTGGTTGCGTCTCAATATGAGTGAAAAATTCTCGAGAGGGACGTTAAACAACATACAAAACAAAAAAAACAAAGGCTTGCACAACTGACTTTGCCTAATTCATTTTCAAGTAATGTTACAGTATGATAAAAAATATAAGTAACAAATGAGTTAATAAAAATGTAAGAGATAATTATGATTCTAATATGGCATACCTCTGTGTGTGTTACTTTCTTGATCTTGAAAATTGTCTTTGAAATTAAGAATTGTAACAACTGTATACAATATTACGAAGTATTTATACAGTAATTAAGAGTATATGACACATCCAATCAAAACTTCGTAACATAGTTGGCATGATTAGGAATAAGATGATAAGAAGATTAAAAAAAAGTTTCTGTGGAATCGTATCCGTGACATTGAAGGATGTGAAAATTCAGTGAGACCTTTAGAAAATAAACAGCCCCCGACTTAATGTACTTTAAAGTGGCATAAATGCCACTCTTGAAATAGTGTCTTTTTTTATAGGTTTTGATGACAACAGATCCCAAGTCTGGAAATTCCAGGGGTCCGTGTTTAGTGCCCTCTAAGCATTTTTTTTTATTGTTTATAGATTTCTTTAGATCGTTTCCTGTTCGTTAAAATCGTTTACATTTTTCAGAGAAAAGATACCTTCCAATTGTTAAACTTGCATTTCTGTCGTTTGTGTTATGTAAATTGCTCTTTCTTCAAGTTTTATCCAGAATTCATGTCATGTTTTAAGAATATTCTGGCTCCATTTGAATCATGCATGATGTCGTCAGCTGTCGGCGTGATGTGTCTTGTGTTCTTTGGATTGTCTTACTTGGTTCCGAAACCTATGCAATAAATGATTCTGTATAAGCATATAATATACAAATCCTTGAATGTGCCTCAGCGGCATAGAGTCTCTTGACTTCCAAGTAATACCACCAGCTCGAGAAGGCGCAAAGGAGAGCAGCACGATTCGCCACCCAAAACTCTCATGATGATATGATCGCCACCCGGGCAGCGTTACCCAGATAATTCAAGAATTCACTGGGAACCATTACAGATCAAAAATGAAAATCAGACTTGTTTGCTATACAAGATCAAACATGCATTCGTGGCTATTCCTGCAGATCAGTGACAGCAGGACCAGAGGAAATCACACGTTCCATCTAACACACACTCGGATAGATGCACATCGCTCATCCTTCTTTCCGAGAACAATACTAAACTGCAAACACCTACCATCTGAAGTTGCCTTAGCACCGACGATTGAGTCATTCAAGTCAAAATTGGATTCATACACGAGGTGTCAGCTGGCTGAAAATACCCTAAGCATGCCAGTTTTTAGCTTTTAAGTGTACTTAGTGTCCTGATTGGGTTTTTTGCTTTTTTTGTCCGAAGCGTGACAATACCTGAGTGTAACGCTCTAAGCCTAGTTAAC